CTCATTATGGGGCCACGAAACGTGTCAAGGGTGTGTCGACATGGGTGGCGCGGACGCATGCGAACCCTGCCACTGGGGCCGTCGGTGGAACTCCCAATGGGGCCACGAAACGTGTGAGGGGTGTGCAAAAGTGGGTGGGGACGGCATGCGAACCCTGCCACGGGGGCCTTCGGTAGAGCACCCTATGGGGCCACGAAATGCGTGAGGGGTGTGCCAAAGTCGGGTGGGAGCGGCATGCGAACCCTGCCACTGGGGCCGTCGGTGGAGTTCCCTATGGGGCCACGAAACGTGTGAGGGGTGTGCCAAAGTGATATGGGGGCGGCATGCGAACCCTGCCACTGGGGCCTTCGGTGGAGCTCCCTATGAGGCCACGAAACGTGTGAGGGGTGTGCCAAAGTGGGGCGGGGGCGGCATGCGAACCCTGCCACTGGGGCCTTCGGTGGAGCTACCTATGGGGCCACGAAACGCGTGAGGGGTGTGCCAAAGTGAGGTGGGGGCGGCATGCGAACCCTGCCACTGGGGCCTTCGGTGGAGCTACCTATGGGGCCACGAAATGCGTGAGGGGTGTGCCAAAGTGGGGTGGGGGCGGCATGCGAACCCTGCCACTGGGGCCGTCGGTGGAGCTCCCTGTGGGGCCACGAAACGTGTGAGGGGTGTGCCAAAGTGAGGTGGGGGCGGCATGCGAACCCTGCCACTGGGGCCTTCGGTGGAGCTACCTATGGGGCCACGAAACGTGTGAGGGGTGTGCCAAAGTGGGGTGGGGGCGGCATGCGAACCCTGCCACTGGGGCCTTCGGTGGAGCTACCTATGGGGCCACGAAACGTGTGAGGGGTGTGCCAAAGTGGGGTGGGGGCGGCATGCGAACCCTGCCACTGGGGCCTTCGGTGGAGCTCCCTATGGGGCCACGAAACGTGTGAGGGGTGTGCGGAAATGGGAACTAATGGCGATGGCGATGATGATGATGATGATGATGATGATGATGATGATGATGATGATGATGATGATGATGATGATGATGATGATGATGATGATGATGATGATGATGATGATGACGATGACGATGACGATGACGATGACGATGACGATGATGATGCTGGTGGTGATGCCGATGATGATGCTGGTGGTGATGATGACAGGATGGTTGGGAACTAATGGCGATGATGATGACGATGATGACGCTGGTGGTGATGATGACGAGGATGATGATGATGATGATGAGGATGATGATGATGATGATGATGATGATGATGATGATGATGATGATGATGATGATGATGATGATGATGATGATGACGATGAGTATGATGACGGCGATGGGAGGAGGGAGGAGGGGGGAGAGGAGGAGGAGGAGAGGAGAGGAGAAGAGAGGAGACGCGGGGCGCTGTCTCTTCAAAACGAGGACCCAACACCACAGGATGGTTGGGAAAAACTTCTTGGCGAAGGACCCAACCATGCGCCGTTGTGCATACCGTGTTGTGGCGCCGCTTTCGGTGATGCTCCCAACGGGGCCACGAACCGTTTAAGGGGCGCACGAAGATGTGACGGCGCCACCATGTGGACCCTGCCATTGGGGCCTTCGGCTGATCTCGCCACGGAGCCACAAACCGTGTGAGGGGTGTGCCACGATAGGGCGGCGTTCCCATGTGGACCCTGCTATTGGTGCCTCCGGCTGAGGTCTTTATGGGGCCACGAAACGTGTGAGGGGTGCGCCAAAATGGAGCGGCGATGCCATGTGAACCTTGCCATTGGTGCCTTCGGTGTAGCCCCCTACGGGGCCAAGAACAGTGTAAGGGGTGCGCCACGATGGGGCGGCGCCGCCATATGGACCCTGCCACCTGGGGCGTTCGGTGGCGTTCCCTATGGGGCCACTGGCCGTGTGAGCGGCGCGCCAAAATGGAGCGGCGCCGCCATGTGAACCTTGCCACTGGCGCCTTCGGTGGAGCGCATTTCTGGGGCCACGAAACGTGTGAGGGGTGTGCAGAAATGAAGCGGCGCCGCCATGTGAACTTTGCCGCTGGGTCCTTCGGTAGGGTTCCTGTTAGGGCCACGAACCGTGAGAGAGGTACGCCAAAATGGAGCGGCGCCGCCATGTGGGCCCTGCCACCTGGGGCCTTCGGTTGAGCTCCCTATGGGGTCACGAACCGTGTGAGGGGCACGCAAAAATGGGACGGCGCCGCCATGTGGACCCTGCCGCTCGGGCGTTCGGCTGACCTCGCTATGGGACCACGAACCGTGTGAATGGTGTGCCTCAATGGGGCGGCGCCGCCATGTGGACCCTGCTACCGGTGCCTTTGGTAGAGGTTCCTATGGGGCCACGAACCGTGTGAGGGGTGCGCCAAAATGTGGCGGCGCCGCCATGTGGACCTTGCAAGTGGTGCCGTCGGTGGAGCCCCCTACGGGGCCTCGAACCGTGCGAGGGGTGCGCCAAAATGAAGCGGCGCCGCCATGTGGACCTTGCTACTGGTGCCTTCGGTGGAGCCTCCTATGGGGCCACGAACCGTGTGAGGGGTGCGCCAAAATAGGACAACACCGCAATGTGGACCCTGCCACTGGGGCCTTCGGCTGGGCTCCCTATGTGGCCACGAACCGTGTGAGTGGTGCGCCACAATGGGGAGGCGCATGTGGACCTTGCTGCTGGGGCCTTCGGTGGAGCTCCCGATAGGGCTACAACCAGTGTGAGGGGTCCGCCAAAATGAGGCGGCACCGCCATATGGACGCTGCAGCTGGGGCCTTCGGTGGAGCTCCCTACGGGGCCACGAAGCGTTGCACTGGGTGCGCCGAAACACAGACATGCGGAGGGCAGAGGCAGGGATGGGAGGAGGGAGGAGGGGGAGGGGGAGGAGGCAAGTTAGGTGCGCTCGCGTCATATCTGACGTCCTACCCCTGCTTCCCATACCTTACCATGGCGAAGATATCCTCTCTATTCGCACAGTCGGATTTCGAGCAGGGCAATGATCGCGAGAGCATGGCAGGGCGTAGAAGAGCACGGCCGAGCGTAGCATGCCATACCATGGCGTGACATTGCACAGTGCAGCATTGCATCACAAAGCACTGCAACGCAAAGCAAAGCATGGCATCGCACAGCGGCGCAGAACACAACACCGCACAGCATGTCAGGGCATGGCGCCCAATTCTTTGGAGTGTAAGTGGATCGTCTTCGAGAGGTCTGGGCCGGCCTGGAGTCGTGGATCCATGTGTAGCTCTTTGGGCTCCCCGAAAATCTCCACACAAGTGCCGGGCTGGCGGAGAGCACCCGCTGGCTCTGATTTCAACATCGCGGGCTCCCGGTTGATACTTCCTGAAAACGGCGACGCCCCAAAGTGGGTGGCTTCTGCGGCCCAAAAAATCAACGAATCGACACCGAACGTGGAATCACTTCCGATGTTTTTTTCGGGGGGGCGTTTTTTTGATTGGGGGTCTATTTGGAAGGAAGGCCAGCGCTGAAGCGGGAGCATGATTCGGAACGAGCGGAACCGCGGAAATGAGGCCAGCGCTGCAGCGGGTGCACGATTCGGAACGAGCGGAAGCCCGAAAATGAGGCCAGCGCTTCAGCGGGAGCTGCATTTTGAACGAAAACAAAAAAACAAAAAAACAGAAACAAAAAAAACGAAAACCCTTTTCCCAGGAATCCTTTGTGTACTAAATTTGCAGTACGCGGAGGGGGGCTGGATACCTTCCGGACGCCATCAGAGGAGAGAGAAGAGTAGTATTCAGATTGTGTAGTTGTAGAGAAGAGGAGAGGAGAGGAGAGCAGGACGCGGGGCGTTGTCTCTTCAAAACAAGAACCCAACACCACAGGATGGTTCGGATGAAGAACAACAAAACACAACAAATAATCGAAAATAGTTGTTCGGTGTCCATCCCCCCAACCCCCACCCGGACCCCTCCGCCAGAAAAACAATGGAACCCAAAACACCATATGCATGTGTTGTTTTGTCGTTTCTCTGCTGGCATCCTCTCGATTCTTCCGGCTCCCTTTTCAAAGGACATCCTTGTATGGGCGATGTACAAACTTTATTGTGGATCAGACCTACAATATTTCCATTGGACTGTACCGTAGGAGATCGTTTGCATGGGGGGTACATGTTGGTTCTTAGTGCGCGAATCACCAATCTGGGGCTGTACCGTAGGACTCCTGGTGTGGGCGATGTTAGAACCGATTTCTATGTGTAGCGTCTTCGCACTGATTCCAAGTGCGCGGGTACCCGAAACACGAGTTGCAGAGCAGCACGCCACGCAGCACCACCGCCAAACAACAGAGCAAAGCAAGCGGAGGAGCACGAGAACGCTCGGAAAACGAGTCGTTATGTGGGGCCCCTCTTGGGTTAAGTTGGGCCTGTTCCTCTACAGGAGGAATATTCAGAAAGAGCCAAAACAATTAGTCGGGGGACAATTTGTTGATTATGTTGTTGAATTGTTTGATCTGTTTTAGGTGTGTTTGATTGTTCGTCCAAGATCCGCCTGTAGGGGGACATGCCCGCCTAACTCTTGGGCCTCTTTTGGGCCATCTTGGTGCAATCTTGAGGCCTTCAAAACGCATCGCAAGCGAAAAGGCGAGAAGGCAGAAATCATTGACTTCCCTTAGTTGCTTCAAAGGATGATGACCTCTTGGGGGGGGCCCGAGGGGGCTCCGAGAGCACTTGGAACCGTCTTGGAGCGGTACGTGGGCCCTCTTGAAGCATCTTGGAAGCCATCTTGAGCCATCTTCTGTTATATTGAGCCATCTTGGAGGCCACCTTGGAGCATCGGAGGCCTTTTTCGAGCTATCTTGGGCCCTCTGACCGCTCGCGAATTCCCACAAACAAACTCAGGGAGGGGGAGGGGGAGGGTACCCCTCCCCGAAGGGAAGTGCGCTCTAGAAGAGGAAGAAACAACATCGTTGGACCACCTTCCGTAGCCATCGTTGCTCAAGACTTTTGGTTTAGCATCTAATTGCTGGGCGTTTGTGGGCTGGAGGCCCAAAAGTCGCATAGACACTCATCACAGTCTCGGTCGCAGTCATGACTGCATCTTCAACGAAATCCTCGACGCTGATCCCGCAACGATTGTGCTACGGCCCTATCGGGAGTGCCACCAGCGACCAGGCCTGCATGACGTTCAAGGATGTCACCGCGCCCGGATTCCGTCAGGGCCGCTACGGGGTTTGCCACTACCATGCCAAGGCCCTGGGCGGCTGCGACGGTCCGCTGGCCTTCGACCAGGTGCTGTGGTTCGGCCTCGAGCTCGACACCCGCCTCAAGGATCCCAGCAAGTTCATCGCGGTCCAGTACGAGGCCGAGGAGCGCCACAACGTCGCCGTGGTGACCGGCGCCTACCTCGTGCTCGGACGGGGCTGGTCTGCCGACGAGGTGCGCCAGGCCCTCCCCGAAGACGCTGCTCTGACTCTGCCGTGCTCGTGGATCGGCCTGAAGACCAGCCACCGGACTCCTGGCATGGTGGTCCTCAGAGGAGGAAAAGGTACCCATACCGCTACCCTTTCCTCGTTTTCGCCCTTTGGGGCCTCCTCGGAGACCCTCGTCGCCACTGCCGGATTCGCTTCGAAGACCTGGTCAGGACGCACCCCGGGGGTGGTCCGGGGGGAAGCGGTATTGGTACCTTTTGGTTTCCCAGGTCCAGGATTGTTGGGAGGGCGTGCAGATGGCCCGGGACCAGGGGTGGCTGAGCAAGGCCAGCGTCGAGGACGGCGTCATGACCTCCTTCGCGGCCAGCAAGTTCTGGAAGACCATTTGCCAGTACGACGGGGCCTGGCTGGCGCCCGGCGACGTCTTCGTCATGGCGGACCCTATGACGACCATCAGCGACCCTAACCCGATGACCTGCGCCGCCTTCTGCAGCGAGCGCCGGGCCGATCCCGAGCTGGCGGAGGACAGCCTGGACGAGCTCAGGATGATCAGCAAGTATAGCACTGCCTCTTCGCCAGCCCTGCTGAAGTTGAACGCCCTCGTTCTGGAGGAATCGACCTCCTGTGGGGACACGGAGGAGTTCGTCGCCGTCAGCGAGGCAAACTTTGGTGCCGCCAGCGAGCGGCTCGAATACCTCGGGGCTGGCGGCCAGCCGGATGGCACATCGACCCACACTGTGTGCAAGGCCTACCGCCTTGGGACCAGGGACGCCAAAGGCCACGGCGAGTGGCCAGACGCCAAGCCGTTCGTGGACTTCCTCCTGGAGGAGGACATCAAGGGTGTGGTGCGTGTGAACAAGCCAGACGAGCGAGGGCTTGCAGAAGTTGGGGGGAGTTACGACGCGCGGCAGCTGGCCAAGTTTGGGATCAGGCACGCAGACGTCTTCGTCAGTGACGCCATCAGTAACGGCACGGGGGCCGTTCCCCCCAATGCTATTGTCAGGCGCTTCATCAGCGTTGCCAAGGACATGAACACCGAGGGTGATGGCGCTATCCTAGTCCACTGCAAAGGCGGCTTCGGCAGGAGCGTGTTCTTGGCCTGCATACTGGTCATATACAGGTACGACGTCTCAGGCCGCAGTCTCCTTGGTTGGGCGCGGATTGCGCGTCCAGGAGCAATCACGACTCCCGAGCAGGAGGCCGCGCTGCGCTCCCTCTCGGGCCGCGTGGACCTTTGCAGGAGATATGGCATCTCCTGCGAGGGCGATGGAAGCATGCCGAGAACGCAGGCTTGCTGCACGGTGAGCTGAGCTGGTTTTGAATGTTTAAGCATTCCATGCTTATATCGTCCCCCTGGCCAGCTGACCCTATGGTTAGAGCGCGTGGCCGCTCCCAGGCCGCAGGATCTCGCCTCGCGGCGCCGTGCTGGAATGTTGCGCGCGTCCTTCTTGATCGCCGAGCCCCGCCAGCGGAGCGCCGCGCCGCGCCGCTGAGTGAGCGCCCGCCGCGCCCGCAGCCTGCCCAGTCTGTTGTCCCAACCATCATGTGGTGTTGGGTCCTCGTTCTGAAGAGACAGCGCCCCGCGCTCTCCGTCCTTCCTCTTCCCCCTCCTCCCGCTCCTCCCTCCTCCCCACCCCCCCTCCCCCCTGGGCACTCCCCTCGCACGCTTCGTGGCCCCATAGGGAGCTCCGCCAAAGGCCCCAGCGGCTGCGTTCGCATGCGGTTCCACCGCCACTTCGGCACACGAGTCACACGATTCGTGGCCCCACTGGGAGCTCCACCGAAGGCTCCATTGGCTGCGTTCGCGTGCGGTTCCACCCCCATTTCGGCACACCCCTCACACGTTTCGTGGCCCCATAGGGAGCTCCGCCAAAGGCCCCAGCGGCTGCGTTCGCATGCGGTTCCACCCCCATTGCGGCGCCGGGAGCTCCATCAAAGGCCCCAGTGGCTGCGTTCGCATGCGGTCCCACCCCCATTTCGGCAAACCCCTCGCACGTTTCGTGGCCCCATCAGAAGCTCCACCGAAGGCCTCAGCGGCTGCGTTCGCATGCGGTTCCACCCCCATGTCGGCACACCCTTCGCACGTTTCGTGGCCCCATCGGGAGCTCCATCGAAGGCCCCAGTGGTCACCCCTCGCACGTTTCGTGGCCCCATCGGGAGCTCCACCGAAGGCCCCAGCGGCTGCGTTCGCATGCGGTCCCACCCCCATGTCGGTACACGCCTCACACGTTTTGTGGTCCCCTAGGGAGCTCCGCCGAAGGCCCCAGTAGCTGCGTTGGCATGCGGTTCCACCGCCATGCCGGCACACCCCTCGAACGTTTCGTGGCCCCCATTGGGAGCCCCAGCGGTTGTGTTCGCATGCGGCTAGGGAGCTCCACCAAAGGAAATAGTCACAATTCTGGTATTCACAACTGTACATGGTTGGGTCCTTCGCCGGGATAGTGAGACGTTGCTGCGGCTTAGACGTGCACCCCTCCAGTGCTACAGTCTCCACAGAGAAAGGCGAGATCGGGGGTTCGGACGGCGAGATAGGCGGGATCGAAACCCTCCCCCTTTAGCCGACAAACGGAAGCGTAGACCTGTCAGCGAGCTGACAGTCCGTAATCGGTCCCGCGGGCTGGGGGGAGCGTGGTCTTACGGATGTGATTTCGACGGTGCCTATTCTTCTTCACCATCGAGTTCCGCTTCCATGGGAAGCAAGTGCATACAATTCATTGCAGTGCGAGACTCGTAGGCGTAAGTTTCCCGCCTGGGCAGCGTTGCGAAAGTCGTTTCTGCATCGCAGCGTACGAGGTAGAAATGATTACATTAGCCTTGGCAGCGGTGCAAGTGCTAGTTTGAGCTTGGTGCCATTGCAGTTTATATTTGGTGCTTGGCCCCTCCTGCTGTCGTTCCTCGCTCCTCTCTCCTCTCGCCTTTCCCGCTCCGCTGCGCCGTTGGCCTCTCCTCCCCTCCTCGGGGGCGGTCCCCTGCTGGAGGTGGTGCCTGGTGTCCGCTTGGGGGTGCCTGGCGCGCGCGCGCTTTGCTGTGGCTTTGGCTCGGTATGGCGCCCGCCCTCCCCTTCTTTCCCTTGGGCCATTACTGCTTGCTCATGCGCCGCGCGTGGATACAAGGGTTTTGTTGCGCCTGGCCTCCTTGCCAGCTGGTAAAGGAGCCTCATCGGCACGGGCTGTGCACTTGCAACCCCTGTACATGCACAGGGCTGCCGCTAGTGCGCCTCGTGGAATGAGGTGCTGCGCACCTTGATGCAGGAGGTATCCCACCCTTGCAGAGCAAAACTCAAGGGGGGGGGGGGGGGCGGGCCGAAAACGAGGGGGGGGTGCTGGCAGGGGGGGGGCCGAGCATTGAATTCGTCAGCAGTTAAAGAAGTCCCCCCCCCCTCCCCCCCTCCCAAGCAGAGCTAAAGCTAAAGCTCATGATGAAGCAGATCTTCAGCTTAGACTTCTTAAACTCACACGCCGGATCGGCGGATTTCGGCACACCCTTCGCACGGTTCGTGGCCCCATAGGGAGTTCCGCCGAAGGCCCCAGTGGCTTCGTTGGCATGCGGATCCACCGCCATGCCGGCACACCCCTCGAACGTTTCGTGGCCCCCATAGGGAGCCCTTCCAAGGCCCCAGCGGTTGTGTTCGCATGCGGCTATAGGAGCTCCTCAAAAGGAAATAGTCACAATTCTGGCATTCACAACTGCACATGGCTGGGTCGTTCGCCAGCTGCGGCTTAGACGTGCACCCCTCCAGTGCTACAGTCTCCACAGAGAAAGGCGAGATCGGGGGCTCGGACGGCGACATAGGCGGGATCGGAACGCTCCTCCTTTAGCCGACAGACGGAACCGTAGACCTGTCAGCGAGCTGACAGTCCGTAATCGGTCCCGCGGGCTGGGGGGAGCGTGATCTTACGGATGTGATTTCGACGGTGCCCGTTCCTCCTCACCATCGAGTTCCACTGGAAGCAAGTGCATACAATTCATTGCAGTCCGAGACTCGTAGGCGTAAGTTTCCCGCCCGGGCAGCGTTGCAAAAGTCGTTTCTGCATCGCAGCGTACGAGGTAGAGATGATTACAGTAGCCTTGGCAGCGGTGCAAGTGCTAGTTTGAGTTTGGTGCCATTGCAGTTTATATTTGGTGCTTGGCCCCTCCTGCTTGTCACGGGCTGTGCACTTGCAACCCCTGTGCATGCACAGGGCTGCCGCTAGTGCGCCTCGTGGAATGAGGTGCCGCGCACCTTGATGCAGGAGGTATCCCACCCTTGCAGAGCAAAACTCAAGGGGGGGGGGGGGGCGGGCCGAAATCGAGGGGGGGGGGCTGGCAGGGGGGGGGGCCGAGCATTGAATTCGTCAGCAGTTAAAGAAGTCCCCCCCCGCTCCCCCCCTCCCAAGCAGAGCTAAAGCTAAAGCTCATGATGAAGCAGAGCTTCAGCTTAGACTTCTTAAACTCACACGCCGGATCGGCGGATTTCGGCACACCCTTCGCACGGTTCGTGGCCCCATAGGGAGCTCCGCCGAAGGCCCCAGTGGCTGCGTTGGCATGCGGATCCACCGCCATGCCGGCACACCCCTCGAACGTTTCGTGGCCCCCATATGGAGCCCCTCCGAGGCCCCAGCGGTTGTGTTCGCATGCGGCTAGGGAGCTCCACCAAAGGAAATAGTCACAATTCTGGTATTCACAACTGTACATTGTTGGGTCTTTCGCCGGGATAATGAGACGTTGTTGCGACTTAGACGTGCACCCCTCCAGTGCTACAGTCTCCACAGAGAAAGGCGAGATCGGGGGTTCGGACGGCGACATAGGCGGGATCGGAACGCTCCTCCTTTAGCCGACAGACGGAACCGTAGACCTGTCAGCGAGCTGACAGTCCGTAATCGGTCCCGCGGGCTGGGGGGAGCGTGATCTTACGGATGTGATTTCGACGGTGCCCGTTCCTCCTCACCATCGAGTTCCGCTTCCACTGGAAGCAAGTGCATACAATTCATTGCAGTGCGAGACTCGTAGGCGGGCGTAAGTTTCCCGCCCGGGCAGCGTTGCAAAAGTCGTGTCTGCATCGCAGCGTACGAGGTAGAAATGATTACATTAGCCTTGGTAGTAGTGCAAGTGCTAGTTTGAGCTTGGTGCCATTGCAGTTTATATTTGGTGCTTGGCCCCTCCTGCTGTCGTTCCTCGCTCCTCTCTCCTCTCGCCTTTCCCGCTCCGCTGCGCGGTCCCCTGCTGGTGGCACGGTGGGGTAGGTGGTGCCTGGTGTCCGCTTGGGGGTGCCTGGCGCGCGCGCTTTGCTGTGTCTTTGGCTCGGTATGGCGCCCGCCCTCCTCTTCTTTCCCTTGGGCCATTACTGCTTGCTCATGCGCCGCGCGTGGATACAAGGGTTTTGTTGCGCCTGGCCTCCTTGCCAGCTGGTAAAGGAGCCTCATCGGCACGGGCTGTGCACTTGCAACCCCTGTACATGCACAGGGCTGCCGCTAGTGCGCCTCGTGGAATGAGGTGCCGCGTACCTTGATGCAGGAGGTATCCCCCCCAGTCCTCCATCGCCCGACCCTCATAGACGTCGCTACCCCCTTCTCCTTCCTCCTTGGCTCCTTCCCGTACATGGAGCACGGAAGGGACGTACCGCTTCCGCAGCACATTCGGCCGTGCTTTTTCGTCAGCCGACTGAGCAAATCTTATTGCACACGCTCTTGGAGCTTTCTGAGCAGCAGCAAGTGCTTGTCATCGGACACCAGTGGGAAGCTCACACACCATGGGATCGACTCTTTTGGAGCAAAGGGGGGGTGAGGTTGTAGTAGTAGTAGTAGTAGTAGTAGTAGTAGTAGTAGTAGTAGTAGTAGTAGTAGTAGTAGTAGTAGTAGTAGTAGTAATCATAATAGTAGTAGTAGTAGTAGTAGTAGTAGTAGTAGTAGTAGTAGTAGTAGTAGTAGTAGTAGTAGTAGTAGTGTAGTAGTAGTAGTAGTAGTAGTAGTAGTAGTAGTAGTAGTAGTAGTAGTAGTAGTAGTAGTAGTAGTAGTAGTAGTAGTAGTAGTAGTAGTAGTAGTAGTAGTAGTAGTAGTAGTAGTAGTAGTAGTAGTAGTAGTAGTAGTAGTGCAGTAGTCGTAGACGTAGTCGTAGACGTAGTCGTAGTCGTAGTAGTCGTAGGCGTAGTAGTCGTAGTCCGTCGTAGTCGTAGTAGTAGTAGTAGTAGTAGTAGTAGTAGTAGTAGTAGTAGTAGTAGTAGTAGTAGTAGTAGTAGTACTAGTAGTAGTCGTAGTACCAGTAGTAGTAGTAGTAGTAGCAGCAGTAGTCGCAGTCGTAGTCGCAGTAGTAGTAGTAGGAGGAGGAGGAGGAG